AGGCCCTGTACACACTAGGCGTTTTTCAACGCGCGTTTTAAAGAACCAAGAGTTCTATGTAGCCGTACACACTCAAACGCCAAGCGCGCGTTAAACGCGCGTTTATAGATTTTTGTTAAAACGCGCGTTTTGCGGGCACTTTACGGGCGCTTTGAGATATATGTGCTGCCTTATAGCGACGATGGAGGAGCACACACAATCAATTACTTTCTCGTCCATTTCCAAACTGAGCCAGTGCTAAACGCCGAACTAACGCTCGTCGAACGCCGAGCTAACGCGCGTTAGCTCGGCGTTAAACGCGCGTTGAAAAACGCCTAGTGTGTACAGGGCCTAAGGGTTTTTAATTCCCATTTCCTTTTCTATCACATATTTCCATGTCGTTGGAAGAGCATTAGCGTCCTTGGCATTTAAGCAATTGTTATTTACTTTACTCTTATATATCTCCATTTTCTCCATACCCAACACAATCGTCGGAGAATGGACCGGTTTAATTATTCTTGCATCATCCCATTTTACATTTGTTCCCTCCGTTTGTGCCATGATTGCCAAAATGTTGTTGTATGTAATGAAAATAAGAGAAGAAAATGGACCAGCTATAATATTTTCTACAATATAAAGTTTATATATTTTGATAATTAAAAGAAAACTATGTGACTATCAAAAGTAAATGTTAATTACTGTTTTGATCTTAATGTGGGAAGTCTACTGTGTCAGTCTTCAAAATAAAAGTCACAGTGATCTACATTCAAAACTCTTCAAAGTGCAACGAGCAAATAATTCATTGTCAGCTTGTAGCTGCAGCAATAAACAAAAGCAAAACCGATTTTGATAGGTTTGCAGTGCGTGCTTGCACGCAGGCGGCCAAATTCCTAGGGTGGCAATAGGGCACTTTAAAATATAAAAGTCAAATACTGTATAGTTTAATATTATTTTAATATAATGGTCGGCGATCATCATGCTTGATTTGAATAAAATGAAAACAAATATATATCAAATGTTTTTATAGACAGTTTTTGTTACCTATGTCAACTGTATAAAACTATCCTAAAACATACCAGTAGGATCTCATCGGTTGGATTAGAGTATTGTGGGATCTGCGAATATCTGAGGGATGATATTCGCAGGGGTGAATGAAAATGATTGCCACGAAAGGATGGGACGAGTGCGATATAGGATCAAACAAATTTTATGTACCAAAAATATCATTATATCAGATCACAATACAAGAGGTCAGTTTAGGCTAGGCACGTGGCAGCTTACACAAAGAGTCTACACAAGACAAATCGAAGACACACCTTCACACCTGAACGCAAGGAACCAGAATGCCTCGTTTTCGGTTTCCCACTATATATAACACCTTCACCACCAACACCGTGCTGCTACACAAAAATCGCCCAAAACACAAATAAAACCGCGCGTACAGCAATCGCGACAATTGTTTACATTAATTACATTGGCAAAATACGTATATATACATAAAGATAATTATAAGCAAAAGAAAATAATTTTTTTTACGGCAGAGACCGAGAATATGCACGAGGATGACACATTATGAATATACGCGTGACCAGGCGGAAAAATATCTGTAACACACGCGCGGCTAATACCCCGTTCGCACCGAGCGTTTCGATCTAGATTGTGACTAAGACCCTGTACACACTAGGCGTTTTTCAACGCGCGTTAAACGCGCGCTTTTAAACGCGCGTTTAAAAGAACCAAGAGTTCTATGTAGCCGTACACACTCAAAAGCCAAGCGCGCGTTAAACGCGCGTTTTGCGAGCGCTTATAGATTTTTGTTAAAACGCGCGTTTTGCGAGCGCTTTACGGGCGCTTTGAGATATATGTGCTGCCATGTTACCGTACATGCGATCGCGCGTTTTGCGGGCGTCAGCCGAGCGCTTTGAGATATATGTGCTGAAATGGAGAACGATCATTTCGATACTNAGGGCCCGGTCGAACTGTCTATTTTGAAAAGATTTGTAAATAAGATACTTTACTTTTCTGTTGGAATTAACCTATCCAATTTCGAAATTTTTCTCCGTTGCGCGTCGGCCCGGGTTGAATTTTTGTCGATGCCTAACGAAAATTTCCCGTCTTTGAAAAAAATAATCGTGGCTATTGTATCGTCCGAAATTATTATTATTTTTTTTTTATTTTGCACGAACAATATACAGTTTAACCCGATCATAACACCAAATTTTTATCGGTCCCACGATTTTAGTATACTAGATAACGTTAAAAAACCTACATGTAACGACATAACATTAATGTTATATGAAGCATTCCCAAATTTACAAAATTAGATTACAAATTTTATTTAACAAAGAAAATACTACGTGTTCAGTCCTAGAGTCAGAGTCCATTTCCTAGAACGACTGCGGGTGTTACTCTCACCACCTGACTTCGGTTTGCCTGTTTGTAGACAGAGTCGCCATTTTGTATTTTACTTTGACTCGGTATGGGTCCTCTGAGTACCTACAAGTCTGTGTTTTTTTTTTTATGCGCGCATGATTTGGGCATTTAATACTCTGTGCCAAATTGCAACTCCTGACATATACACCTTTATACCTCTAAGCTGGTAACACAGCAGGCAGTACGATTTTATAGACAACACATAGTCTTGTTGACAATTAATATTTTAAGGTAAATATTGTTATTGTACAACAACTTTTGTTAGACGTTTAATAAAACAAATTTCAATTTTTTAAATTTATAAACAAATTGTTCAAACTTTTCTAGAAAAACTAAAATTTATTGTTGTGTATTAAATATTTTTTATTAATAAAAATTTAAGATTTGTTTTAGTTTTTCACATTATTTAGTTTTGTTTTATTTATTGTTTTATATTTTTTGTGTGCTCTATTTCTTGTGAGCGAGGGGGCCCGGTAAGAAGAAAATGTCTAGGGCCCCAAAGTGGGTTAATCCGGCCCTGGGAAGGGGGGAGAGTCTTTAATAACGTAATATTTCTCCAGTGGTTTATTTTTCTCCCCAGTCATCACAAAAGTTGTTGGGGATGACTGTAACATTATTATAGCATTATTTTTATATTATATATTACGAATTAGTCATATTCCGACATTTATTTCGACAGGAATTTATATTTTCTACTGTGTCAGTCTTCAAAATAAAAGTCACAGTGATCTACATTCAAAACTCTTCAAAGTGCAACGAGCAAATAATTCATTGTCAGCTTGTAGCTGCAGCAATAAACAAAAGCAAAACCGATTTTGATAGGTTTGCAGTGCGTGCTTGCACGCAGGCGGCCAAATTCCTAGGGTGGCAATAGGGCACTTTAAAATATAAAAGTCAAATACTGTATAGTTTAATATTATTTTAATATAATGGTCGGCGATCATCATGCTTGATTTGAATAAAATGAAAACAAATATATATCAAATGTTTTT